CAGCGGCTGAATCAGGACGCCTGGGGCAGAGCAGCTGGGGTGCTGCTGGGTTGTAAGTCAGAACTAGCATCCAGAATCAGCCGCGGTTGAAACTGATCAGTTTCAGCAGCAGCTGACACCAGTTCCAACATACATACAGATTCAACTTAAGAACAAACCTACAGTCCCTATCTTGTACGTAACCCGGGGACTGCCTGTATTCTGTGCTCTCAATACATCTGTTTTACCCCGAAGTGTCTTCTAAAAGCTCAGTAAACAGTGGACATGTTGGTAATGCTGCTTGACAATACTGACTTCCCGTGGTTCGGCAAATTCTCTGGCTTGGCACCAGCCAGGTCCCGAGGATGCCTGACTAGAGAGACTCAACCTATAAAAGCTTTCAGTAGGTTTGGGTTGTGTGACATAGAGGTTCAGAACGGTGTTTTGAAACAGACACTGTGTTTTAGTAAATTTGTTCACTCTCTTTCACACACACATGAATATATGTTTTAGAAAAAAGATGGAAAGATCACAAGAAATGAGCTTCGTCGCATTTTGGATTGCATACTGTTTCGAATAAGTGACAAGGACTTCCAAGACCTAATCAACATGATTGATCCAGATCACACTGGATTCCTCAGCTACCATACATTTTTAGACTTGTTTGAAGAAAAGGAATCTCTAGTAAGTGCTTATCAATACTTTCTCATCTTTTTCTTTTTTATAATGTCTGTATAGCAAAATTGCAATTCTTAATCAAACTCTAAGCTCTGATTTGTCTTCATCTAAGTTAGGGAATGCATATGCTTTTCAGCAGTGTAAAACTCCCTACAAAATCCACACTCTTGGATTCTTTTAGAATAGATTGCGTACCCATTTCAGTTACCGCATTTTTCTGCAAACTCCCCCTGGAATGTAATTGCAAGTTTATGTACATGTGTGTAGCATCTGTGGGACAGAAGTATCACTTTACAGCTGTCCATCATCAAAACTATTTTGCAGATATTTTGCAGAAGAGCTCTATTATACTTAATAATAATAGGTTTTGAGGTATACAGTACCCATTGGTTGTGTATTTTCGTGAGTATGGCTTTGACATTTTTGGTGTTTTGTAGCCATCTGTTAATATTTTCCTTTAGAACGAATACCATATATATAGTGAGGTTATATGTGGTTTCTTTTGACTGGAACGTCTAGTCAATATGTCATTTTCTTTTTTTGCTTGCTGAATTATATCAAGAAGTAGTCTATAGTTTTCATAACTGCTCTATAATATCAGAGCTGTTCATAACGTTTTATTAGATCACTTTTAGGTTCACATTAGTGTGTCAACTGAATAAATCTGTATTTAGTTTTTTGTCTTAAGCTGGCGTAGTTAGTGTTGTTGGAAGGAATCAAAGAACCTGGCAGTGTCAAGAGATTCACTAGATGCACAAAAAGAGGTTCCTACTGAATAGTCGTGAATGGTGTGTATTGCTTTGACAAAAGCTTTGATGTAGCTAACTGCACTAGGCTGCATCCTGTTCTGATGGCTCCAACAATAGATGCATTTGATTCATCAGCTCATGTCCCTTCTACCTATTCTTCAGTTGAATAATGGTCTTGCTGAGAACCTGGGACACATTTTTATAATTATAAAACTGACATGTTGAAGGGGGAAAGTATAAATACTGGCAAAGTACAAATACTGATAGGTCATGCAAATGAATTTGGATACTAAAATTAACTTTTCTGATTCATTTTAGAGTTGAAATTCTAATCCCTTTTCAGTGTAGTCAATAAGGTAGATTTTAGCATCAAGAAGTACTGGGTAGAGAAACACAGAGCAACATGGATCATGGCCACCCTGGGATAAGATACCAGCTGATAACCAGGGATGACCACAATAGCTAGGATTTTACACTTGAAGTCTGATTCTGCTCTGAAGAATGGGACAGATTCTGGCCTTTGCTGTGCTATCTGTTGGTGCAAAGAAGCTGCAAAGCCAGCCTAGTCAAATACTAAGGATCCATCCTCTGTTCCCTAGGTGGTGTAAAGCCGGCCCTGGAACACTGTCCTGCCCACTCTATGGAATAGGGGAATTCTTTGGGGCACAACCAAGGGGAGTTGTTTTTTTCCTAGAAAGCTGCTGTGCTCCATCATTCTCTGGCTGAAGGGTGGGGACTGTTGCAGCCAGATGAAAGTCATAGCAGTGCTGAGGCATATACTAGTATTGCTGGAAATCAAGATGGGCTTCTGCTAGCTAATTCAGCTCCTGGCTATCCCCAGGATGGGGATATCTGAAGGTAACATAAAGTCACCTTTGTCTCTCCTTGGATTTTGCACTGAATAGAGCTCAGTTGGATCTGAATATTGACCCGAGTTACTCTGGAAAAATAAAATTCCATATTTATTGCATCTCAGAAGTTCTGTTATGAAATGTACCCAGCTTACAAGTAAAAAAGATGCTTTTATTCTAACTGCCAGTGCCATAAACTGATCCTGACCTGTGCTCTGTGAGCCAGATTCTGCCTTCACATTCACCGGTGCCATCCCATTGTCTTTGAATTATTCCCTCAGAGACAGCTATCCAACTTGCAGCTCATCCATCAGTCTTAGCAGCGTTTGCTGTGGAGAGTAACAATTAGTAATGTGCTGTTTTGTCATCAAAGTCAGTAGCTGTGACTTTTCATAACAAAAGGAGCGGATCAGTGGAATGAAGGGACATTTTTGCATGGTCACTTTTCAAGTTAGAGCCACACTTTCAAACAGAATCTTCAGACTATATGCATTGTCTGCCATTGTACACTATTTAGGAAACAGTGTGCGAACATTTTTAAACATAAATAATATTTTTTTAAATTAGATGGGTCATAAATGGCTTAATGGAACAAAGGAAATTAAGAAGCCACTTTCTCTTGTTCTAACTTGGGATACTGTAAGTAATAATGAGGTTCATCTTCAGTAAGTGTTGATTTTCTATAATTAAGGGGTTTATTTAATTTTTACTATGTGATTATTGTCATATGACAATGTAACCTCACAGACATTTTTTATTTCAGTGATTGGATATATTTGCATTTTAGGGGGAAGACATTCTTTCAGATAAAATCACGGAAAATTGGAAGGATTTCCATAAGGCTTTGCAGACCTCTGATCCTAAATGTACTGGCATTATTAGTAGGAATCAGCTAAGAAAAATTGTACAGCTATATTGTCCCTCTTTGTCTGACGAACAGTTTACAAAGTAAGCTGCTGGCATCTGATTATTAATTCATGTAACTTTATTACTTTCTATTTTTTTTCTAAACAAGTGTTGTTTTGAATCTTGGGATACTTTCACTTTGCCTTAAGCTTAATAGAAAATAAAATGCCATCAGCCCAGTCAGTGACCCCCATTCTGCATGTTATCACGTTTCCATTCATGAAATACTATAAAGATTGGGAATATAGCATAATTTGATAAGATAAAAGAACTCCATTATTTAAAGTGAAAATTGAGTATTATGGAAAATTTGTCTTAAAAATATTTACGGTTTCCAAACCGAAACGAATATAACTACCCTTATATCTTGTATCTTTCTACAGTAATATGTTTTAATAAACAATTTGAGTGCTTTGTTTTTAGGAAAACTGGAACATGACATAGTCAGCTCTCATTTTGATCATTGGCCGTTTGATAACTACATCTTAATCTAAAAAACAATGAACATCCCAAATCATATGTGTGTATGGAATCAAAATCTGTATCTTATAAATGAGGAGTGGATTGTATTAAGCATTTTATTGCTATGGCATGTCAGTCAGGCTATAATTGGCTGTAATTTGCTCTCCTACAAGCTGTAACATTCTTTACCTGAAGCACTATGATTCTCCAAAAGATGTGGGATTCTTTCTTACCTTTCAAAACATCATAGGAAAATCAAAGAAATCCGTTTCAGCCTGAACTTTGTGACCCAGTGCCCTGATGATCAGTATAAGTGAGGAGCAAACACAACAGCATCAATAGGAATTGGCTTTCAGAAAATAATTTTTGATCTTGAAATATGAACAAGTACAAGTGTGATCACTGAAATAAAATGCCACTATGTTCGTTTTCCTTTCTGTGAATTTTGTAAAGAAAACTTTGGGTGTCATCCATGGGGTTAATAAGAGTCAGGCACCTAATTCCCTGTGAAGGGTATAAAAATATACCCTTTTTGTCATCAGTTTTATGGGCTCAATGTTGTATAATATATAGACATTGATCATGGATCACGAGCAATTACTTATCCTTTCTTTGAGTATTTTATAACTGGTTTTCATCATTCACACACTTCTCTAGATAATGTTTTTACCATTATTGTCAACCTCTTTTGTTGACAATGAGAGAGCGGTACTGAGGGTGGAGTCCAGAATTATAACCAGTTTACAATCTAAAATCATTTATACCTATAGTTTCAACATCTTGTACCTGAAAATGATGTTGAGGAGGAAAAACACAGAAAAATAAACAAGAAAAAAATGGGTCATTAGGGTCTAATCTACCACCATTGTAATCAATGGACATTTTGACATTATCTTCGGGAGATACATGATTAAGCCCTAAACTGGATCAACCCTGAAAGGTGATGGGCACTATGATGATGATTCAACAAATCACATAAAAAGCACTTTAGTATGGCGTGAGTCCCATTCATGGGAGCTAATTACATTCTGAAAGGATGAAGCTGCTAAAGGTGAGCATATGCTTAGGTGCTTGTTGCACTGGGACTCTAGTACTCAGAACTTTCAAAGATCAGACTTTCTAGAAGTGCTAGCTGGGGTGATTTTGCAATGACCTGATAGGACCTGACACAGCTTGACACAATATATACCTAAAAACAGTCTCTGAATTCCACTGTGGAGGTCATTTATCAGGCCCTTGTAGAGTCGGCATAAATTCCACTTCCAGTTGTACTAGCTATGAATAGTTAAACCTGCTTTTGCAGCAAACACAAGCATGGAGCTTGAACTCTCACTTAGATTACACTATGATCCTGGTTCTGGGAAGTATCTCTATTCAGGGCAGCACTTGAGGACATGCTTGAGGGCATTTGTTAAGATGTATGTATCAAGGAGCACTTCATCCTACAAAAGAAAAAAATTCAATTTTGAGGCTAGTATGAATACAGGTTTTATATACAACAAGGTATTATATGCTGGACCTCCCCAGTTCAGCTCCCTTGAGACATGACCAGTCCCAGACAAGGGAGTTTTCTGGACCAGGGAGTCTGTGGAGGGGCGTCAGCCTCTCCAATGGACTCCTCGCCCTAGCTACCTGTCACCACTGCCCTCAGTTCCCTGGCTGCAGCAGCCCTGCAGACTCTGCAGCCCTGCAAGGCCTGGAGGCCCCAACAGCTTAGCCTGCCCCGTGAGCTCTGGTGGCGGCTCTGCGTGCACTTGCAGCCCCGTTGGCTCTGCTGGCACTCATGGTCCCACCAGCTGTGGGCTTTGCAGCCCCCCGGCTTCCTGACCCCATTGGCTATGGGCTTGGTGGTCTCCCCTCCCTGTGGACTTTGGTGGCCCTGCCAGTTTCCCAGCCCCACCAGCTGTGAGCTGTGCAGTCCCCCTGCCCTGTGGGATCCTTCCCGTCCCGGCTGGCTGTGGGCTGTGGTGCCCTGTGGGCTCCACTGGCCTGGCCAGCCGGCTCTGCTCCCAGCCACCAGCAACCTCCTGCCAGACCAAAGGTGTTACTGGACCAGAGAGTCCTGAACCACAGAGGTCCAACCTGTACTGCTATTGATGACTTTTCTGATTGTGGGTTTTTTTTGTTTTAGTTTGTTTTAAGAATTAAATAAGAAATGGGGATTGATTGAATTTGAAATCCATAGATGAAAACTTGCTTGGGAAATGATTTGCTATTCAGCTTGCATTCTACCAGTTTAGGGGTCTGGGTAGACTGCAGGGGGAGAGAGCAGGGAGGTTCAGGATACCTGAGGTATCCTGAAAAAACTCCGCTGCATCCAGGGAACGTGTTTGCTCTTTTGCTTTTTTTTTGCAGAAGAGCAGACGCGCTCTTTCAGAAGCCCCTGTATTCCTCTTTCTACAAGAAACAAGGGGGCTTTTGAAGAGGGTTTTTTCCCGACATTTGGCCCAGTCTAGATGGGCCAAATGTCAGAAAAGCTTCTTTTGACAGAATCAGAAAAAGATACGCAAAATGCAGAACGCATTTCGCATACCTCTTTCTGACAAAATTTTGTAGTCTAGTCGTACCCTAGGCTAGGGTCTTATTCTTTAAAAAGAAGATGCTTTTACTCACATTAGGCCACCAGTGAACACATTTTTAAAATGTGGATTTATATGTTATTTAAGACTATCCTGTGAAAATATTGTGGGAAAAGATTATTCCAAGAAACTCTGGATGGCACTGTTCATTCACAGCTCTAAAAAGGTTAGGGATACAGTATTTTAAAATAATAAGCAAAATATAATGGACTCCTTTAAACATGTACAAATTGGACATATGACTGTCAAATCTGTGTTGGAGTTGTCATAACCAGACTGAGGATTTAATTCAGATGCTTTGGGGATGTTGCATTATGCAAGGTTTTTGATCAAGGGTGGTGAAGAGAATAAATTACATTCTGAATTTTAGTGTTTCGGCCACATCAGTCTTATTGATTTTAAATGATACTTCTGTTGTAAGGGGCTTCACTTATAATTGGGCTTTGGGCACTGATGTGACTCATCCTGAAGCCCTTAAGGATAATGCTGCTTTTATTGAGGCAGAATGACTAGCATGCCTGTCCCAGATGGCCTCCTATGAGATGACATTCAGACTGAGGAAGAGAAGGGACAATTTTTAAGGACATTTGGAAGCCTTCTGTAGATTACATTTCCAAGGCAGATGTTGTTACTTAGTGTTTTCCATGTGTGGGACGAACTTCTTTGCAGAGAGCTGGTTGAATGATGTTACAGCATGGCGACTCCCTTTTCTCTCCATGATCCTCCCGTCCCACATCCTGTTATTGTTTTAGGCCAGGAGATTAGATGTAAAATCAAAGAAGGTTTTGGTATGGCTATATTACAAGAAGGGTCTTGCTCGAGGGAAGGTTATATCTTAAGTTATGAATCATTTTGTGTTACTTTTTTTGTTTGTTTTTAAATATAAGTATAAATAGGGAAAACTATTTTGTAGACTAAACAGAATGCTATGAATTCACAGTATAGTGCATTTCCATTCCATTCCATTCTTTCATCTAAGAATCCCCCCAAACTTTACAGACATGAATCGTCTCATAAAGTTAAATTGAGCTCTGTGAGCTGGGTATTATTTTCCCCATTTCGCAGATGTGTTAAATTAAAGTACAGAAAGACCACTGAGTCAAAGGCAGAGTAACCCCAGTCTCTTTCTCTAACCACTGGACACACACTGCCCCTGACTGCCAAAGCTCATTGTTTTGGTAATCTTTGCTTTAAAATATCCATATTGTACCTTACTCTCAACTGTGTGCATTATCTTAATTTCTTTATTTTATCTAGGCTATGCCATAAATTTCAGGATATTCCTTCTGATGGGATCCTTTACAGGATGCTTTTGGAGAGCTTAGGAGTTGCTTTACTACTTGGTGACTTAAATGGTGTCAGCACACAGATCTCAAAGGGAAGTCAACAAAGAGAAGAAAAAAGACAAACAGATCTTTCAAAGAGGTACTGAACAATGTTGTATTAATATCGACAATTCCCTATTACATTTTAAAATATTGATATACTTATAAAGGAAACTTCTAAAAACTGAACATTTACTTTACATGTCAAATGGTAAGTGTTGTTTTAGGCAGAGCTCTGGGTCTATGCATAATCGCTTTGTAATCTGACCTCCAAAGTATTGCATCAGAAGAGCAAATATATGGTTTACTAATATCTTTTGGACTCAAGTAAGAACTGTTGAACTTATTTCCCCTGTTACAACAGGGGTACATCCCACCATGCCATTAAACCTTCAGTTTTTTTTCTCTAAACAGCATCTAAAGTATAGATTTATAAATCTCCATATAAATGTTGAGACTTTTGGGATTGAGCATTCTCCGAATCCATAAATCAAGACTGATTTGAATGGCTGTAGCTTCTGTATGCAAGGCATCTCATTCTATAGCATTACTGCATACCTTTTTGCATTCAAGGAACAAGGATATTTGAGTAATTGGTTCAACTTTTCTTCAGTTAGTAGAAGCTTTGGTCTATGTGGAAATACCTGTCTATGAGCCAACAGGGTGGGGTATATTTCTCCACAAAAACTGTGGGTTGAGCCTAAAAACTATGAATCACTTTTGAGATCTTCATGGATCTCCAGGATCCTTGGGTCTCCACACTGGCTGAGCCTTCAGTGGCTCTGCAGCTAGTCTTTGATAACACAACTCCAATGGATTTCCTAAATGTTGCTAATCCCTGGACTGCATCCCCTAAAGGGGGTTCACTAGCAAGGAAGAGTTCAACTGGAAAGTTAATGGCTATTCCATTGGGTATCAAGGGACAATGTTTGCTTCTTTCCAACTTTGCTTGGTAACTATAGTGAGCCATTTCTAGGCTTTGCGGAAAACAAGACATGCTGGAAGCAGTGTGTCTCCGTGAAAAGGCACACACAGTGGAATTTAGGACAGCTGGTTTGTAGTCCTGCTGGTGGATGGAAATCAAGATTATATAATACAGCATGATATAGCCTTGCTTATCAGCAAAGTCACTTATCTTTATTTTCATCGTTATGCGTTTCAGAATTTCAAACATGCTAGAGTTACTTTTCTATGTGACCTACTAGTGATATTTTATTTAAAGGAAGTTAATGAAAATGTTTCATTGAAATATTTTAGTGCTGGAAGTTACAATTGTAAGGTTATCAAATTAAGAGAGTACTATAAAATATACTTAATAAAAGTATAAAAATTAGATTGTTAAATATTCTGGGTTTTGCTTATAGAGAAATATATGCTTTCAGATCTAACAAAAATAATTGTGTTAACTTACTTTTTCATGGACAATAGTAAATCCATAACAAATGTGAAATGGATGCAATCGGGACATATTACACTTTTATGTACATCTTCTCTATCTTTAAAAGTTATTGCATATTTAATCATGAATTATTTTAATAGTTTGCTGATGAAGATTATAGTATTTCAAAGAGAGGGTTATATATTCCATAACTGGGGATTTTTCTTTTGAAAACCGAGAGAGGATATGCTAATTGACTCATTTTACAGAAAGGAAAACAAGTGGAAGTGGCTTATTTGGGTTACTATGAGTGGAAGGATGCGAGTCAAGATGTTATATGACTACTTCCTATGCCCATATATACAGAATAGCACTGATACCATGCCCAAAGGTGACCAGTTGTTATACTTTTCCATTAGTCTGATTCATCTCCATTTAACGTCAGTCAGAAAGACTCCCATTGACTTTTTTTTACGCTGGATTGGGTCCCATAATGGTGTTTCAAAAATGTTAATGGGTAAAAGTGACTCCTCAGAGGCTGGGAAATATGAAGATCCAAAATGAACTGGTATCAACTCCTGTATGTGAGAGGTCTCCACTTAAAAATAAATAGCCTGTGGCAATATTATGCAATCCGTTTTTACAAAAATCATTTTAAATGGTGGTTCCTACTTAACAACTGATTGCACAATATGGTCCTTGGAATCTGCATGGGCCTTAATATTGGGTTGGACACAAAAAGCATATTTCTGGCGTTACTGTCCTGTTTATTGTTAAAATAATCCAGTTAATTATTGAATCAAATGTGAAGTAACAAACACAAGTGACTTCTTTTCATGAGCAATCTTTCAATTTTAGAATGAAACAGATTGAAGACCAAGCGACTAAGCATACCAAGAATAGAACTGTTGATGAAGTAATTGAAAGGCTCAAGAACAGTGTGATACAACAGGAAGCAACTATTAAAGACAGCTTTCTTGCCTACAAGAAGCAACCAAATGGAAAAATTAGTAAAGATGATTTCCGGAAGGTAGAAGAAATACTAGGTGTTTTCTCTATCTTTTTGTTTTTACTGGAAGGTGGTTTATCATTTTACAATGGTTCCTATACACACAACTATAGCCAAGCGTCCAGGCCTGTTTCAGTCAATGATAAACTAGAACATGCTCACATAAGCTCCCTGTTAATAGCATAAGAAGGAAACTCAGCTTTCTTTTATAAAGAAAAAAAAAGTCCATTTCTAGCCCCTTATCTTGTAGAAATTGTCTGGAAAACCCAAACTGATACAAACTGATTTCCAATGTTGAAAAGAACTTGCTGCTAGATTCCATCTCTGCAGCAGGTGGCTGGGGGATCTATAGACTCAGACTCCAACCTGCCACCTATCTTCTCTGTAAATGAGTTAGTTACATCTGAGATGCATCCCAAACCACTTTTTTAGTTAGCCCATCACCAAAATCCTTATGTCCTGTGTATTGTGGTATGATCACAGCTGGGAGAAATGAAATACACTGAGGTATGGGGAGGCAGCAAAACATTGTTTGCAGGCAAACAAAAAAATTCAGTGCTGCTTCTGCTTGTTAAATATTTAACTGAGCTGGCTGCTGGTCATTCAGGCCACTGCTGTGTATCAATAGCAAAAGCAATGTATAAGTACTCTGAGCACATAAAACAATTGTGTGGTTATAGATGCTGAAGTCCCTTCTCGTCTTTAGGTCAAGTTTAAAGCACATTGATGAAGTGATCCAGGAATCTTGCACTGTTGTTTCCTGTGCTATTCCATTTAGGCTCATAATACTCAAAGTATTAGTGCTGTTAAAATAAATATTTAAATTGGCTATGCAGAGTCTAAAATGGCTGACAATTGGCATAAAAGGCTTAATTGATAAACACCACATACATACAATGACATAGTGATTATCAGTCTGAATAAAAACGTAGGGTGAGATTTTGTGCTGTGCCACTGAGGGTATGTCTACACTACAGAGTTTTTTTTTGGAAAAACAGCTGTTTTCCTGAAAAACTTCACTTATGTCCACACTGCAATTGCATTCTTCCAAAAGAAAATCGAAAGAACAGAGGGGTTTTTCCAACATTGGTAATCCTCATTCTACAAGGAAGAAGCCTTTTTGTGAAAGAGCTCTTTTGGAAAAAGGCATGTGTGGATGGGGAAGAGGGAGTTCTTTTGAAGGAAGAGGAAAGAGGAAAAAGCACAGGTGCCCTGGTGGCCACTCTGTCCATAGTAATCACAGCTGAAATGTGAGATAGCTTCCATTCAGTGTGGATGGTATCTTTTGAAAAAGCAGATGGCTTTTTCGATGTGCTTGGGCAGTGTGGACGCTCTCTTTTGGAAGAAGTTTTATTGGAAGATCTCTTCCAGAAAAGCTTGTTCTGAAAGAAGTCTTCAGGCTAGACATAGCCTGGGGGGCTTTAGGGAGGGTGGGCCAAGATGGCTTTATGCTACCGTTGAACCCTTCACATGCAGGGCTGGTTTGGGAGTCAGAGGAGCTACCGGAGCATCAGGGAGCCAATGGGTTGCTTTAATCTACAATTGCCTCTCCTGAACTGCCCGTGGACAGCAATGCTGCCTGGATGCCTCATAGTTCTGTGGCCCCACCCTCTCCTGCTCCTGGCTTTGTCCTAGTATGCCCCTGCTCTGAAACTGGCACATACAGTTCCTGCATTGGTGGAATTCTCCCACAGCTAACTAAGGACCACTTAAAAGGAGGGGAGAACCCCTTCTGTAGTGTGCAATTAGGAACTGACTTTAGTTAATGAGATTTTGCTGTGCTTACCACAGTGACTAATATGCTTCTGCGGTGATTAGATTTTTTTGGCAGTGTGGATCAGCAGACCTGGGTACAGCACTTGGGTGCTCGAGGATCAATATGACAGATTTAATTTTTACCTGTGAGTGATCCCAGCTGGTTTTTCTTGGTGAATTTTCTGTACTACTAGGGTTGTATGTGATATTCCTCAGGGCATGTTGCAGCTCCAGTTGTGTCTCGCTCCCTGTCTGTTGTCTCTTGTAGAGATTTAGAACTGATATGAATTTGGTATCATTGCTGTGGTGCAGATTTTTGCTTTCTCCAGACCTGAAGAGAAAACATCACCAAAGCTTGCTGCTGGGTGACAAGAAATTGGCTGAGATTAAAAACACTAACAAAATGGAAATTACCCTGGTTGGGTCAGGCAAGAGAAATTATGGAAAAGACAATTCCTTGGGCCTCCTACGATTAGAGCGGGGGAGGGGGGCTGTACTTCTGACAGCTAGTATGGGCTGAGTCTGCACATTGTCTTTATCCAGATGCTGACTGGGAAGAAACAGGAGGAGACAGCTGTCGTGAAAACAGGATTTACCATTATCAGTGAAACCATTAAAAATGGCAGCACAGCTCCCTTAGGACTTCTTCTGAGACTAGGTTTACCTTGGTTTGTCAGGAAAAAATTCATCTCTCATCAGCGTACAGTATGCTGTGCACTTCTTCATCGGGCTGCTCTCCTCCTCCCCAGAGGTGGATGTATTTCTGGGATCCTGTGTGTGCATTGCAGAAGTGCTCTGAAATGAGAGGTGCTCAGTAATTGCAAAATGTTATTTATTTTTCTTATTGTTAATAATAGTAATAATAATTAATAATTAATGCATGTATCAAGAATAAAATTGCAGCCTTGCCTCCCACATGCTGATCTGTGCTACATACCTTTGGGACACTGGCGTTTAGATTACTGCAGTATGTTCCATAATGTGGTTCCTAAAAGGCTTATTTTGTTGCCTGCAGCTAGTGCAGCAGCATGATTAACATTACTGGTAGGCAGAGGGAACTCCACCTACCTGCTGCTTTTTTCTCTGCATTAGCTGTCTGTTGAAAGTTGGATTTAAGGTTTTGGTATATCACTGAAAGCCACTAATTGACTGTTTTACTAACCTCACTGTTCTTCTGACACCCTACAATGTATGCCTCTTTTAAATATTGCAAGTGCACACAGAATAAAAAATAAAGATAATAATGTACATGCAGCCATTTGTGCTATGATACCATCAGATCTCATGAGCTTGGCAAGTTCAGGTTTCCTGAGTACTTGGTTGGTATATGGTCTAAGTACGCTTACCCACTGAAGGATGTAGTTCCTCTTACTAAAGCACTAATTTCAACTCTATGAACCAGGGTTGTCATTAATTTGAAGGGAAGTGGTAATTTTTTTTACCTATCCAGGTTTAGCTTTGTTATCAAAGCTCTATACAGTCCTTTGAAAATGTATATTTAGGAACCCAGACATTTATCTGAGAGGACAGCTTGTAAGCAACAAACATTTCTTTATTTCCCTTTCGTTTTGTTTTTTCACTTTGACAGGTGTTGGAAGATCATGGGATGCCAATGGATGATAGTCAGTTTAATCTACTGACTGAGAAATTAGGATTTCCAAATGGAGGGCTGAGTTATCTTGATTTTGTAGCCGTTTTTGAAGGTAGATTAACATTAATGACAGTGCTGTATAAAACAAATCTTTCACAGAACAGCCAGAACTTTTCTCTCAATAATCTTGCTGCCTTTTGGGTCATGAACCCCAGTTTGAGAAATGGTGGTTTCCCCCTGTGAAATCTGTATGGTATAGGGTAAAATACAAAAAGACCAGATCCATAGGGAAGATCTGATATCATGTCCCTGATGCATTTTTCATGGCTTTTGAATTTGGTAGAGCCCCATTCATTTTTAGTGTACTGCCCGTAAGCCCGAGGGAGAAGTCAGAAATGGCTGCTCCAAAGGGATTGCAATCTACGTAGTAATATGATGTGTCCTGCTGGGATCATTAGCTTCCCTTTTTTTAACCTGCTTTTTGTTGCCATTTCTAAGGGAGATAGACAGGGTGAATATCTACGTACTGTAGGGGTAGGTTCTTTTACCTGGACCCAGGGTGAGTAGTACCAGCCTCACTCCATCTGCAGTGTAGTTGATTTCAGGGCAGCATGAGCAAAGGGAGCAGAATCTGGTCTGTACGAGATAAGAAACAATCATAATTCATTTTCCCAGGCAGCAATTAGATCCAGGGGCCATGGGTGAAGTGTGAGTGTCATATGTATATAATCATTCCTTCTTCCATTGACATAGTTTTCTGTTACTTTCCTGCTTTAATTCCAGATTTTCTGGGTGAAATCCTGATTCTACCAAAGTCAATAGGAGTTTTGACATTGACTGCTGGGGAGCCTGTTTCACCTTCTGTATTTTGAATTTTTGACCATTTTTTCTCAAAGGTGTGCAGTTCTGATTTCTGCGCTGTTAGCCATGGCCATTATTTCACCTGGCTTTAGAAACAGGCAAAGGGAAAGAAACTGACTTGTAGCTGACTGGTGCAGTAAAAAGGCATTCTTTACATCAGCCCTAACATTCCTAATTTTGACCTTGTTCAACCAGTCATCTGACCATGAAAACATTTTCTACTATCTCAAATAACCTAGTAAAATATGCCTAAAAGCAAGGTAACATCAGTGTGATCAAAGTAAAACTGAACCAGTTACCAGTCATCATAGTTGCAAAGGAAAATTATACACATTTTACACAGAGATTTAAAACACAGAAGGCAAAGAAAAAATGAATTATTTTTTTAAAATATGAATTTTAAGACAATCATATGATATTAGGGGAATTGATTTTAGGTTTTGAGCCCTTGCAATTAGAAATACTAATATGCTTTTTTTTAGGTAAGTAAAACTCCCTGACATTAGTGAGATGGTAACTTCAGTAGGAATGTTGCCTGAATGAATAGTGCAGGATCCATCCCAAAAGACTAGATGCGTATAAAGCAGGGGAAAAGTAGTGGGTAAAAATGAGAATCATAGAAATGTAGGGCTGGAAGCGACCTCGAGAGGTCCAAGTCCAAGAAACAGAAAGGCTCACTGTGCATAGCTTTGGATGGTTTCTTGGTTTAGAGGCAGGAAGGATGCTGTTTTTGATTTTTCCATGTTATTTTTATTCGCATGCCTGTGTCTCGGTGGTTAAAATACATATATATTTAGAAGCACTCTGTTAGGAGGTTCTCTTTATATAACGGATTAATAAGAAATATCCTTAGGGGAAAAATGACAGGAGGTACTCTGTATAAGTTTATCACCTTTGTAAAGTTCAAGTGAAACAAAAATATTTTGAGGTTATTATTAATCACTTGAGGAATTTGCTGAACACACAGATGATGATGAACCTATAGCCGGGGTGGGCAAGACAGCCTCTGTGAACCGCATTCGGCCTGCCATGCCAGTGGATCTGGTCTGCGGCCACCCTGCTGCTTCCCCACCCCCAGGCCAATCGAAACCTGGGGTGGGGAGTGCGCTCCCACACCAGGGCACGCGGCACCAGAGGGAACCACCAACTGTTTTAAAACAGCTGGCATTTCTCTCTAGCAGCTGTGTGCCCCTGGCAGGGTGGGGCCAGAGGGTGAAGGACTTTGTGCACTCCCTTCCACCCCCAGGTCCTGATTGGTCTGGGAGCAAGGGGAGTATGTGAAGTCTCCTCCCACTGCAGTGCCTAGGGGGAACCTCTAGCTGTTTTAAAACGACTGGCAATTCTCTGTAGGTGCTGGGGGTGGTGGAGCAAAGGCTTCACGCGCTCCCTTACCCTCAGGCCAATTAGGGTCTGTGAGGGTGAGTACGAGAAGTAGCCCGGCCCAGCCCCTTCCGCTCGAGGCTCCCCCCCTTCCAGGGCAGCCCACGGTCACTTCAGATATTTATGAAGTAGTCCCCTTTAAAAATTATTGCCCACCCCTGACCTACAGGTCTGCTACACTATTTAATCTGCTGGGTAAACTTCCTTTATATTGTTGGGTCTTCTGGTTCATTACTTTCTGAAAGACCAAAATTTAAGATTGTGATCCTACAATACCCTACGCATGTGTGCAATCCTTTTTACTTTAATGGAATTATTCATATGAGTACGAGTTCCAGGATCAGTCCCTTATTTAGGCAGAATGGTTACATGGAGCAACACGAGCAAATAAAAATTGCAAAATTACATATATAGCTGAACAAATATTTATAGTGTACCAATGATGACTGTGTGTATCTATATGTAGAGAGAGAGAATACATGACAACATGAATGGGAAGGTTTAATTAACAAGAGTTTGTTCTCCAAAATAACTGCCAATAAAACCTCTCCACCTCACTGCACAGGCATGTATTCTGTATATGCCACTTAAGTGGCAGGAAAACTATTTTTAAAATGCTTTAGAGAGTTAAACCATGTTATTTAGACTATTTTTCATTTCTCTCTCCTATATACCAGATACCTTAGTTACCAGGGGTCCAGCTGCACAGGGAACAGAAAGAGCTGTAATAACCTGTAACAGTGACTCAAAATAGCTTTTCCATTGCCTAACAATACCATGGCCCTTCCAAGACTAGAAGCAAATGTTGTGCCCCACTAGGAAGCAGGCAATCTCCTTTTCATGATCTTGCAGTGCTGTGAGATTATAGATACAGAAAAGCTGGCTCTTGTGCAGGATTGAATCTCACCTCCCCTGTTCCCCTGGAGGGGGGCGGTAATTTTGGGGGTGAAATTCCATTGTTGGGCTGAGACAGAAGAAATACTTTGCTGATAGATTTATGTAGTTGTTTGTGGCTATTGAAGCTACTGAAGGTTTGTGTGTTAGAATGACTTCCAAGGAGATGGATTTGTGTGCAATGGCAGTGGAGTCAAAGTTAGGTCTCAAATTAATTTCTGTGGCACTGTCTGCAACAATGCAGACCCTGTGTTCCTTCTCACTCGGGGGATGTCTAGACTTGACCTGGAAGATGTAATTTCCAGCTCAGAAAAACATACCCATGCTAGTTCTGACAGAGCCAGCATGGTGCTAAATAGAAATGTAGCCAGTGGAGCAGGAGGAAGTAGACAGGCTAACCACCCTGAATATGATCCCTTCTGAAATCCTAAGTAAGTACTTGAGGGTGGCCTGCCCTCCCAACGTATTCACGGCCTCAGCTGTACTTCTATTTTTAGCAGGTTAGCTCAAGCACAGCTAGCAGGAGTCTTTCTCCCCAAGCTGGAACTCACTCCTTCGAGCACCAGTCTAGTCCAGTTGTCACCAACCAGGAGATCAGGATCTACTGGTAGATCTTGGAGCCTTTGACAGGTGATCCTAACAGATTTGGTTGATGAAAGGCTGTCAAGTGCCGACACTTCACCTGCCCCTCTGCCTTGGAGTTCCCTCCCAGCCCCAGAGCCTCTTACTTGCTGTGCAGGGCACTGGAAGAAGAGTAGGTGGTGCTGATATCAGGGTGCGCCTCCCTCCACCTTGTACCCTGTCTCCACAGAGGGGGGCAGGGTGGAGAGAGCTTGCTGGATGCTTTTTGGAACGGTTCAGGGCCAGAGTGGGGGTGAGCCTGCGTTAGTCCCCTGCACCACCACCCAGCAGTCACCTGTGGTAAGCAGTGCACAGCTGGAGCCTGCACCCCAAACCCCTGCCCTATCCCTGAGTCCCCCTACACCCAAGCTCCCTCCCAGAGCCTGCACCCTGAACCCTCTCCTGCACCTCAACTCCCTGCCCCAGGCTCAGCTGAGAACTCTTCTCACACTCCAAACCCTTTAGCCCCAAATCAGAGTCCGCATCCCCTCCCCATCTGCCCTAGGCTGATAAAAGTGAGTGAGGATGAGGAGGATAGAGTGAGCGGGGGCAGGGGGGCCTTGGAGAAGGGGTGGGAAGGATGTGGGCAAGAGTGTTTGTGTTTGAGGTGGATCCTGGATTGCATTTAAGTTGAACAAGTGATCTCATGCTTAAAAAGGTTGGAGACCACTGGTCTAAACATACCTTCAGGCAGGCAAGATGACAACCAACCACAAGTCTCTTGGACTCCCTTCTCTAGTTTGATCTCCTCCTTGTTCAGAGCAACACTCAGGAACCAAAGAAGGGTAAAATAAAAGCAAAAAAACCTAGAAAGTCCCACCTCAGTTGTGTCTTCTGCACAAGAACTTATCCACAGGGGCCTAGAGTTCTTGGTGCTTTTTGGTCTTTCACTGGGAGAAATCTTTTTACCATGGAGCAAAGCAGGAGCTGAGGCAATTTTTGGCAATCAGAGGGACATTTATAATATCATATGCATCTATCCGAGTATGTCCTCTGTAGAACCTAAAGAATGTGATACTTTTTTTAACAATGTATTTTATATGACTAATAAATAAGACAAGTCCATTGGTTCTCTATGTTTAATACAAAAGAAAAAGATATTCAGGTCACAGATTGCTTTACTCTAGCTTAATTATTTCAGATCCCAGATTGAATGGACCAGGAACTATACTATCTTGCAGTCCAAACCACCGAGTAAATAGCACTAAATTTTATTACTTGACTGCTGAAGAGTGTCTAAGTCAATTCAATGCTAAGCTGACGGAAGAATATGAGGTAAAATACAAATGCTGATTAGTTTTGGCAATATACCAGTTATGTTAAAATATTTTTTGTTAAAATGTACTTTTAAGGGGAGTTGTCAGGAAAGTGACTGTATCAAAATGAATTTGGGGTTCAATGTTTATTCTCTTTCAGTGACTGCCTGGGGAAACATGCTCAGTTTAAAAATCAAAAGCTGATTTTCTAATTGCTATCCCTACATACTCTTCTGGGGATTTAAAATCCAAAATATTTTTTCTGACTCTTATTGTCACGTGTAATAAACTGTGCAACCAGAATCAGAACAGACATGTTGATGGTCCACAAAGAACAAAATTCAGATGAATCTTGCATATCTATACTGATTTAGCACTGCTACAAATAGAATACTTTTTTTTTTTGGTTGGGAAAATAAAAGCAGTTTTTATATACCCTCTTTTTCAGCTGAGACAATATTTATGTAAATTGCAACAAAAGTAACTTGCGCTTCTGCACTTTTTATATATGCAAGTAGCTCCTTTTGTGTGGTTATTAACAGGAGCAAAGGTTTGCAAGATTAGACCCATGGTGCCTAAAGATTACAATGAGCAATGCAGTTCCCTTAGGCAAGAAAGCAGACTTTTCCAGAGATTACACTGGTACAGTGTAGAGGTGCTGGAAAAAAACACTGGTTTTACAGCAGCGGTTACCAACCTTTTCCAGATGGGGACCCATTTTGACAATTCAGGAAGACTTGGTGACCCAAGGCAATTCAAAAACGGGGGGAGGAGAGAGGGCAGAACCACCTGGGGGGACACTTGGTGACCCTTTTGAAATGAGACCCATAGGTTGGGAAACCCTGTTTTACAGAGAATTGAAATCATACAGCTTATTATTAAAATGCCAATCTGAATTGGGGAAAAGTGACCTTGTGGGAAAGGAACCCACCAAGCACCATCATTATTGACTGGTTCACTGATAAATGGCAGTTAGCAGTAGCTAGCTCCTGACTGCATCAGATCCTATGATAGGAGTGTAGAGCTTTTCTCAGGGCCAGCCACTGACAATTGACAGGGTATTTTGGCAACAGCACAGAACTACTTGGCCAAATCAGATTTTCTGCTAATGTACAGGCAGTCCCCGGGTTACATACAAGATAGGGACTGTAGGTTTGTTCTTAAGTTGAATCTGTATGTAAGTCGGAACCGGCGTCCAGATTCAGCCGCTGCTGAAACTGACCTCCAGTTCTGACTTACATACAGATTCAACTTAAGAACCCCAAGCGTCCCCAAGTCAGCTGCTGCTGAAACTGATCAGCAGCTGATTCCAGGAAGCCAGAGGCAGAGCAACTCTGCCTCGGGCTTCCTGTAGTCAGCGCTGGTCAGTTTCAGCAGCGGCTGACTTGGGGGTGTCTGGGG